AGCTCGCTCACTTCATCGCCCTGCCTCATATCGTCGCCGACCGATCCACCTCATCCAAGCGCGTTGCCGTGGTGTTCCTCCTTTCTAAAACTAGGTCAGTCTTTCCGCTCCTGGTCTGTGCATATCTTTTGCGCGGCCCCATCCTTGCGCGCTACTTCCCTGAGCAGCGTATATCAAAATTCGCAGGCAGAAGCTCGAGAGCTGGAAAGTTAACCTGTAACAGCTCCAACCCCAGATAGCAAACCTCCCCCTGCTACCTTGCACAAATCGACACCATGGTGGACGCAAAGATTCAGTATGTATTACTGCTAGAACATTCACCGCTATATGAGCTAACGTTGCGTAGAGAGCTTCTTTCCAAGCCGCGTTCGGAGTTGACGTACGTACACCCTCCAATCCACAACAGTTCCTGTACTGACATTGCTGCCTAGCGAGTACGAAGTTGCTCAGGTCGAAGAACATGAGCTCACCACCGGCCCTCTCTCCATCCTCCAGACCGCCGTCCGCTCGCGCACACAAGTCCTGATCTCGTGCCGAAACAACCGCAAGATTCTCGCACGTGTCAAGGCTTTCGACCGTCATTGCAACATGGTTCTCGAGAACGCGAAAGAGATGTGGACTGAGACTCCACGGTTAGCCAACGGCAGCTACGGAAGGAAGGTCAACAAGGACCGCTTCATCTCCAAGCTGTGCGTTCAAATCACACTCTACATTTGCGCATGCGCTGACTTTTATAGGTTCCTACGCGGTGACTCGGTCATTCTTGTATTGCTATCATAAGAGCTTGGAAGCACTGGGGATTTGGGACGGTAGCGCCAGATCAAGCGCACGAAATGGAGTTGGAATGAATTAAAAGTTACATAACCGTCGCGAAATCGGCGAGGAACACCGAACGAATCAAACAACGATACCCCAACTTCTACTTCTTCAACCCGTCACTCAGGCCCAGTAGGAGCTCCGCGAGGCCATGCGCGCCAGGGTCTGGAACCTCTTGGAAACCCTCGCCTCCAACGTAGACCGTTCGCCCCAAGCTCGCTTTCATACCCTTCGTCCCTTGCGCGCCACCTTGTGCCGCCGCAGCCGCTTTGTCGATACTTTCCGTCTTAGACAGCGTCTCAACGAACGGATAGAGGGCATCCATCAGCGTTCGGTCACCGGGTTTGGCAGGAGTGTATTTGCCGAGTGCCTTGAGCGATGAGTCAAGGGCCTTGGCCCAGATTGCGGGTGTGACAGGCTGTGGCGACGAGGGCGCGTTTTGTCGCAATCCATGCGCCAGCGCATTCAAGAAGATGGCGTAGATTGCACCTGACGTGCCGTCCATAGCCAGTTCCACCACTTGAATGATGTGATTCATGAGGATCAGCAGATCATCTGTCTCCTTTGCCGTTTCGAGCATCTTGAGAATTGCTGTTGGGTGTCAGCGCCAGGCATCAATGTACACGTGATGATAGCCTACCTTCTGCGCCGCGCTTGAGTCCGATTCCGCAATCGCCATCTCCAACTATTGTGTCATATCGGGTGACGTCTGGCTCAGCCTTGATGAGTCTGTTCAGCGCAACTGTCAAGGTTGACTTGGCCTGGGCATAGTTGACTACTCAAGTTAGCGGGCGTCATACGCAGCTCTGCAGGTACTTACCTCTCAGATCACTTGGCTGAATATCCTCTTCGTCCACCTGCTCCTCGTTCTTCTTCGCTTCTCCCCGTCTCGCCCATGTGCTGCTACTAATCGCCGCAGACCAGCCACTTGCCTCGGCAGGCGCATCAAGCAGCTCGAGCATTGAAGCGTCGGCGACTCTAAGCAAGCTAACGGAGAAGCCCAATCCATTCAAACTGGTCATGAAGGTGCCAGCTAGAATACGCACTGGCTTGATCTTGAAGCTGTCCGCCAATTGCTCGACGACTTCGTTCGTGATTCCGCTTAGCTCGAGTGGACTGACACCTCCCAGGTTGTTGACCAGTAGTACCACATCGTCCTTGTCTGTGATCTTGGAGAAGCTTCGGTCCTGATCCGCTACGTCCAGGCAATGCGACAACATTGTCTTTACAAGACCAGGTAGATCGATCTTCTTGCGCTCTGAACCGGCTTCATTATGGATGCCCATTCCAATCTCGACTAGGCCTTCAGCCAGCTCGTCTTCCTCTGCCTCTCGGCGACCTGGCACATGGACGTGAGCCAGTGAAGAGCCGATCGAGACGGTGTTGTCGGCGACGAGCTGGGCCATCTGCGTTACATCTTTGAGATTCGCTCTACAATGATGTCAGCTTCCTTATAGGCATGATGTTGGTGTGGTGCATACCCTTTAGCAGCAAGCGCACCGGCAATCTTCTGGACGAGCACTGTTCCCGCAATACCTCTGCGTCCGACCTTACCTCCTTTCGCACGCCCTACACCCGCATCGTCGCCGACTACCACCATGTCGACTTCAATACCAGCAGCGCGCGCTTTCTCCACCGCCATGCCGAAGTTCAGCACATCGCCAGTGTAGTTCATTACAATCACGAGGACGCCCTTGTCTTTTTGAATGCGATGCAAGATACATCTTCGCACCTGCTCTGCACTTGGCGAAGCGAAGATGGTACCTGCGACTGCTCCGGATAAAAGGCCCGCGCCGACAAAGGATGCGAATGAGGGTTCGTGACCACTACCACCTCCGGAAACTATGCTGACTTGCGATGCGCCATTCTTGCGGTAGACGATCTTGTTGTTGATGTCGCATTGCACGGATGGGTTCGTCTGAGGGATGCTGAGTAGCGCGGTGTTGACGAGGTGTGTCGGGTCGTGGATGAAGTGTCTCGCTGAGTACGTTAACTATCTGATCGCATAGGTTTTGATGGGAATACATACATGACATTGTGATTACTATATGTCCAGCTCAATGGAATGCGCGAATTGGTGTAGAACGACGGAACACAGAGTGGATGGAAATCGCAAAAGTAGCATGACGAAAGACCAAGAAACCTTCAATACCCGACGCGACGACAAGCAATCATTCCACCATTCCTTCGTGTCATTTGACATATGCCGACATAGCCTGTGGCCACACGGAAACGCGTCCGCGTTCCGTCTTGTTTCCAGGCATTTGGAGAGCTTCAGTGCTCTAAGTGGGGTTGCGCAGATGCGTGAGGGGTAGCTTTGCGTTACTGTGGGGTCGCTCCTCCCCCCGAACCCCGAATGTCAACAAGCATTGGTGCCGGCTTCCTCTTCTGGGTGATGCCGTACCAAGTTTCGGTCTTCCGACCACTCCTACACCAAGCATCGACGACTACGAAAAGCCTCATATGGGACAGGTCCGGGGGCTGGAGCTCTTGTATGCGGCCATGCTTGCTTTTTCGCTCTCGGTACTCGACGATCGGACTTCCCCTACGCGCCCAGAGCTCATTACCCAACAATACGACTTTGGGCATGAATGACCGATCGCCGTCGTGATGATCGCCAACTGGACACGAAGCCCTTGCGTTCATGGGGGAGATGGTGAGGCGCGCTCATTTCTACCATTAGGTCGCTATCGCGGTTATGGAGCGGTACCCAGAGTGTGAGTAGATGGCACACACCCTTGAGTGCCTCAGCCTTCGGCTGGATATGGTACCTTCGCTACCACGAAGTTTGGGCGGAGCCACATGGACTCGCACACACCTGAAAGAATCTCAGTATGTCATGTCGCTTCACACATACAGTCACTACTCGCCTGCCTCACAATTATGTCTCAGCTAGAATCCTCCGTTTCGTGCGCTGAGAAACGTTACAAAATCAATACAAAAAGAAGTTCACTATACGCCCTTCCCTACGATGTCCTAGCCCATATCCGGGTGTACTTGGATCACACCGAGAAGATTTGCTTTGCGCTGTCAGGCGCCAAGTTCTTCGAAAGTTTTCCATCCATCACTGTTCCAGAAGATAAAGTCGGCGATACCAAGATCGACGTCTATCTTCGGCTTCTGAGAGACGACTTCTACAGAGAAGCCCACAAACGACCGGGCATCTGGTGCGTCTATTGTGCAGGTGTCCATAGAGATACGCGCTTCATCGGGAAAATGCTCTGTCGCCCACGGCAGGAACGCAAATGCTCCTCTACACTCGAGCTGTGCCCACACAGGTCTCATTCTCTGGAATACTTGAAAGCTAAGGTAGAAAGAGCTGTATCTCTTAGGGGTAGACACGCCATGTACGTAGATCTCCAGTGTTATACTTGCCAGACAGAGTTGAAGAAAAGCCACATCTATCTCACCATTTGTGACGTCACATACGATCAGACGTCTGGAGACTATATCATGAGAAGTGACATGACCATGGGCTTTTCGAAAGCAAAACCCTCGGATTTACACACAAAAGCGCGTGCGGTCCTACAAACACTCGATTTTACGGCGTGTCTTCACATACAAACCTCTGAGGAAAGCACCATAAACCGGCTTGTCGATGCCGAGACCGGAGCCTTCAAAGCAGAAAAGCGGCACAAAACCCATCGCGTACATTGCGAGCATTGTAAAACGATGGTACAAATCAAATACCTCAAAGGCTTCTGGGGTGCTTCGCCTCACAATCCAAGAGCAGCAGCAGCAAATACAGGACTGACGATAGATATTATACGTAACTTGGGCAAACTGACAAACGAAGACGATCCGACATGGAGAGCGCATCTTCGAAAGCGGCAATTGAAAGTCATGAAGGACCAAGGCGACCTGTTTCGGCTTGGACTGGGCTGAATACCACGATGAGAGAGTGGGAAAGCAAGAGCTATGTGCCACGGTGCATGGCTGCCAGACTGGAAGGGCAGTCGGGGCTTGCGGAGTATATTCGGCATGGACGCTTCGAAGCTACCCCACCATCTGATAAGATTTTGATCTACACCCCCACCAACCCGTCGCGTCGAGCTCCAGCCATCGCGTCCTGACGCAATTCGTCTCATCTTTCAAGTTGCGCGTCGCACTGCTGAACTTCGAAATACCCGTTTCAAAATACCACAATCCGCGTCTGTCTTTTATACCGAAACCTGAAGGCGATCATGGCCCTCCCAGGTACCGCCCACAAATACACAAAAGGCCTAATCGCCTTCGAACACGCCTCCACTCACCCTTCGTCCTCATACAACACCGTCCTCTGGATAGGTGGCCTAACAGACGGTCTCCTCACGGTCCCCTACCCCTCGCTCATCGCTGCCTCCCTCCCACCAACCTGGTCTCTTGCCGAAGTCCTCCTTACATCCTCCTACAGCGGTTGGGGCACCGGTAGCCTGGCGCGCGACGCGACTGAACTAGGGGAATGCGTGGCATACTTCAAGAAATTGAGACCGGGGAAGAAGATTGTGCTTATGGGGCATTCGACAGGATGCCAGGACATCATGGAGTACTTGCTTGGAAAGGGCGCAGAGGGAAGGCACAAAGTAGATGGCGTGATACTACAGGGTGGTGTAAGTGATAGGGAGGCGTGGGAAGATTATTACAAAGAAGGGGAAAGGAGAAAGCAACTAGAAGACGCGATCCGGTCATCCAAAGAACTAGTAGACGCAGGCAAAGGCGAGGAAGTCTTATCGCCGGAAAGCAATCCCGTCTTCAAAGATATGGGCGGCCCACTCAACGCCTACCGCGCATACTCCCTCCTCGCCAAAGGCGGCGACGACGACTACTTCTCCAGCGACTTCTCAGACGGACACTTCGCGACTACATTTGGCACGATACCAAAGAGTACGCCGGTATGCTTCCTCCTCGGATCCGACGACCCATACGTCCCGGCCAGCATCGACCGAGCAGCCCTACTCAAGCGCTGGACGCGCATAATACGGGAAGGCGGCGGTGTTGTGGATGATGTTGATGGTGGTGTGATACTGGGTGCACATCATAATCTTGATGGGGATCCGGAGGAGGTAGTTCAGGATCTCGTGCGGAGGGTTTGTGGGTTTGTTGCTAGACTGGACCGTGATAGGGCGCAGTTGGCCAAACAGATGCGTTTGATATAGATGATCAACACGTACTTCTTCAAAGTAATGTATTACCGTGGCATGCTGAACCACGCACACCACTGCCTCTAGGCCATTCCCTACTCAACGATATCTAGCTTTTGGTATCCCCATCCCATCCCAGCCCATAATCCGTTAATTCATCCTGTCCCCAACCCAAAAGCAAAGGAATAGAGCATCCAAAGCCCCGCCCATTCAAACGCCCACGCAATGCAAAAACAACCCACTCCATCTCCGCCACACTCAGTCAAAACCACTCCTCCACTGCTTCCCCATGAGTTTCTTGGTTTGCTGCGCAAAGTAATGCTTCCGTCTTCGCTCTCGCTCTGCTGGGCTCCGCTCTGCTTCTTCTGTTTCTTCAGCTGGTAACACCTCGGTATCCTAAGCCCCCGGTATACCACCAGGCTCCTCAAACACCGCCTGCACAACCCATTGCTCGCCGAACTTGATACCCTTCCCGCCACTGATACCAGCGTTGCGCCAAGGACGATTAACACCGATATCCACGATCCAGATGAGCCACTGAGGATCGCGTCCAGAGCCATTTTGAAGGGCTTTGACAAGCCCTGTGCGTGGCGCACCGAGACAAACAATGTACTTTGCGCGGACTTCGAGGGGCTCGCCTTCTAAGATGGAGACTTCGCCTGTCGAACCGCCGACGCCAGAGGGTGTTTCGACCGCGAGACATGCTGCACGCGATTTGTTGGCCCAGCCGACGATATTGAGAACTACGCGTTGGTCCTGGTCGCCAAGGGCTTCGAATTCCTTGTGACGGCCGAGCAGAGCATCAATAATAAGTTCCGGTGGTGCTTGAAGACGCTTTAGAGCTTCTTCAGTCGCGTTCCAGGAGCGGACGGTGCCGCCGAATTTGCGGAAGAGCTCGACTTGACGGCGTATGTCCTTGTCCCAGTCTGCGTTGCGTTCGAAGCCGAGGAGGGCGACCATAACTTTTGGTCCGCGTTGGGCAAGGTGGCGTGCTGCTGCTACGGCGCGTGCGCCTCCACGATGGTTGCCTGCGAGGACCACAATAACGGGGTTGGCGTTCGGATTGGCGCGCGAAAGCCGCATGCCTCCGGGATTTATAGCGGTCAGAGCAACTTCTGCAATACCTCGTCCTGAGTTCTCTGCCATGATGTCTTCGTTGAGACCAAAGTCTACCTCGGCAGTTTCCTCTACGGCCAGCATAGCGCCAGGAGTAATGGCGAAGCACTTGCGGTTGTTAGACACCAGTCGTAAGCAGCCCTTAGCGCTAGACTCGAGAGGCGACTCTGGTGGTGTAGCAACGCGCCCTGGCCTGGGGCTACCGGTAGCATGTGAGGACGTGTAGGGGCGGTTGATGAACGAACGGTTAGTGCGCGGCAACACGCCTGAACCCATCATATCCATGTCGGCTTGTACGCTGCCTTGCCTTGTTGGTGCCATCTTGACTGAAGCCCTGGACATCGCCCGTCTAGAGTTACGTCCGCTGCCAAAGTCCTCCTCTTCCTCCTCAGAGCTTGTGTTGGTCGTGCTTTTCAGCTTCCGATCCAACACGTTTTCCGTAGGATGAAGGTTCTTTCCGCCGTGTGTACCAGGTCTTGCCAAGCGATTGAAGCTGACCAGGCGGTCCTCATCTGCAGTGGTGTCCTCATTCCTAATCTGATTGAACACAGTACGCTTGTCAAACTTGGAGAGGTTACTCTGGAAGTCGAACTCAGGCATGTCCTGGATGTCGGTCGCGTCTTCTGTAGCCCAGCCGTTCGTAGCTTCGAGCGCTTGTTGTCGTTTCGTTTTGCGATTCGACGCGTTCGCCGCCGCGAGACCGACTCTACCGCCGATGACTCCGGGAGTCCTCGTTTGTGGCTGTTCGGCGGCTTGTAGCATGGGAGTGTTTCTCCAACCATTGCCTTTGCTAGTATATGTTAGCTCTTGGACATGCGACAAAGGACATGGAATCCAGAATCCCACATACCCTTTCTTGACCGCCTCAACGTCACCGTTCTTCCTCTCTTGAGCGGCAAGTTCCTTCTTACGAGACTTGCCCCCTCTTCGAGTCTTCTTGCCATTGTCGTCGTTCTTCTGCGGGCTGGGGTCATCCATGGGCTTGCCGGTCCTCGTCTTGGTGATGCTTGCCCTTCGCGCATTCACCTGTGCTGTCCGCGCCTCACTGTCCGCCTCCTCAGCGTCCGCAATATCCAGCGACGAGAATGGGCCTTCCAGAGTCGCCGCACTCGGCTTTCGGACGTTGTGTTGCTTCGCATGGCTTGCGAAAGAGGACGTGTTCTTCGGTACAGTCGCCGCGCTCGTAGCAGCCACGGGCTTTATGGGCGTCGCAGGGGCTTCCTGGGGGGTTGCGGAAACAGGACCACCCAAAATAGGGGCGGTAGAAGTGCGCTTTCCCATGCTGAGAATCGCAGGATCGACAAACGGCGCGGCTTGAGCTGGCTGAGGAGCGGTCTGGCGCTGCGCTTGACGAGCATTCTGGTAGGTAGGCGCGCCTGCAGGCGGGATCCCGGACGGCTGGCTAACAAGATGCGGAACTTGTTGGCCCATATGCTGCGACTGGCGAGGGGCATGGCCCGGAGGATACTGCGAGTGTGAGTATGCCTGCGGGCCTGATCGCGTGGGGAGAGGTTGGGGAGGAGCGGGCGCCGACGGATTGACCTTGATGTCTGCAATCATTTGTCCTTCTACCGTGTAGGAAGCGACACGGTGACCCGAGTTTGGGAAGAAGACTGCAGACGTCAGCGTATGCCCATATTCATGAATTCTGGCTGCGGTGTACCATCTTGGAGAACGAGTGTAGCTGTCTTCTGGTCCACAGCGCTGACCACGCCCACGACGACAGCACCAGGGGGAGACTGCAGCGTGACCGCGACCGACAATCCGACGAAAGCGCTCGCCATGTTTGCGGTAGATCGGACGTGTTGGAGGTGGAGCGGTGATCCCGAGTCCGTTGTAACCCCAACCTAACTATTTCGCGGGTCGTGCTTTCGCGCTAACGCAGTGGTCAGCCACAGTCTAGCCTCAACGGCCGTCTTCACATGCTCAGCATAAAAGGGACACCCGGTTACAAGTTGCGCCAAGGTACCCTGCACATGGAAGAAAACGAACGAAAGCGAATAGGGGGTAAAGACTACAAGAGCTTGAGATGCAGGATCTTTTGGAATGTGTGAGAGCAATCTAGACTTATGGTGTATCTTCTCTCTGTCACAGTACCCAGCCAGGCACGCGCTCAACTTTCCCAGGAATGACGTACACTTGAAAAGGAGACGAAAGGAATAATCACTCATGTTCATTACGCGTTTTCATCTAACTAAGCCCGCCTCATCACCTAAAAGCAAATCAAAAAGTCCAGGGTATCCATACAATCGTTCCATCTCATCGCGATCCATCAACCACGAGGCGCAAGTCGCGTGCGCCTCGACTGATAACGCGACATTCCCAGCTCCGCATCAAACAAGCACCCAAGAGGCCACACTGCCAAACATGCACGAGTATGCCCTCTTATTGTTCCAAGTAGCCAGGCTCAGACCCCGTGCATCCTTCTTATTAAATTCTGTTACGGCCACAATCGAAATCTTCTGGCCCGGCGCACCGAGGTCCATGCGCGGGAAGTCGAGCCACCAAGTGCGCCCGTCGGTGTTCAACGGCTTGTAGTCTGGCTTCCGGCCGTCTCTGCCGGCAATGCTTAGGAGCATAATGTAGGGCGGACCCTTTCCGTTGATCTGGGGATCCCAGTGCGGGCAGATGAATGACATTTGGAACCGGACTACTGCTGGTGCGTAGGGGTCGTTTACTTTGATTCTGGATTGTGATGGTTCAAAAGTTTGCTCGCCGAAGCCGTGGAGCTTCATGCCATTGCCGCAGAGGAAGAGGCGCCCGCCCTCGTCATGCCGCATGAACTCTTCGTATGACATGATGCGCCCATCGGTGCGGAACTGGTGAGAGGCTTCTCCGGGGTAGTGCTTCAAACCGAACTCGTTGTTTTCCATGACGAAATGCTGCGGAGCAAAGGCTCGTACGTATCTAGTGAATTTTAGCCCTTGTTCGACGGGTGGTGAACTGCGAAAGAAGTATCATCTCGAAAAGCTTACCCTTCGCCCTTTTTACTACACCCTAAGTGTCCAGCTCCCCAACAGGGATCAATGAGCTTCCATTCTCCGTTATCGATCTTGACAGCGTTCCAGGCATGTGTCGATTCATAAGGTGGTGTAGGTTGACCGGGCTCCAAAGGTGCGTGGCCGTAGCCCTTGCACGCACCGGAACATACCATAGCTTCCAACCCAGCTTTCAGAGCCAGAGCAGCGAACAGACCGGCATAACCTTCGCATACTGCCAGACCTGATGCAATTGTCTTTTCGGGTGTAGTAGGCATAACCGTGTTATTGAAGAACGAGTGAGTATCGTAGTCGACGTTGTGATGAAGCCAGGTGAAGATCGCTCGAGCCTTGTCTGTAGGTGAGGGGAACTGTGAGCATAGTTGATGAGCAAGCCAGCCCACGTCTGAGTTGGGAAGTTGGGTACGAGGGAACTGCGCAGCATGATTGTCTGGACCTGAGAAGTCCCGACATTTCAGGCAACTTGATGGAGCAGCACCTGGTTTCGGCTTCGAAGCCATAATGGCGCTGAGGTTCGGTCTGGACGACATGGGAACAGGTGGTGGTGCACCAAGAGCCGGGGCTGAATCGGATGTAACTGCTGGTGGACGAGTTGAAGGCACAGGTGGAGGTGTAGCGGCCTTGTTGTTGAAGCCCATGTCCAACGCTGACCGTCGCGGTGGCGGTGGTGCGATCAATCTGTTTGTTCGAGAGGTGTCGTTTGAGGATTGCCTCTGTGGCAGCGCTGGCACAGGCTGAGGTGATCGCTCGCGAATGATGGACTGTCTAGGAGGTAGGGAGGGTCTTGCCGGTAGGTCTGCACGGCATCGTGTTAGCAGTGCTCTTGATGCGTGCCACAGCTGTGATCTACTTACTGGGAGTCTTGAGCTGAGGGGGCAGTTCCCGAGAAGGCACATAATC